TGAAATTTTTGGTGCCCATGAGCATCTCCTGTTAGCAGGAAAGATGATTCCAAGGTTCCTTCAATTTTAGAAATTAGTATTCAGTTCATTAAAGTAACAGTCTATTAAAGTAACATCTGTTTCTTCTTTAAAGGTTTGAATGCAAATTATAAATCTTATTTTTAATGTAGAAGTCCTGCAGATATTAGCAGTTATTTTTGAGGGGTTTTTGAATAATGTTTGCATTTATAAAATGCAAATTAAATTCCTTTAAACATTTTACACTTCTTTTATAAATTTAATGTATTTAATTTTCCTCTTAATTCAACTATCTGACAGAGTATTCTTATAAACCTAGTAAATTACATTTATAGACACAATAAACCTAAATTTTTACTTAGCTTGAAATCACAAGTCTAAATCAATTATTTAATTATGCATTTCCTATTGGAGTCACAAATAGGAAAAATTACTGTTTACATAGAAAATCTTTAGGAGTCCACTAAACAAATACTGGAACTAATAAGTGAATTTTAGCAGGTTTGCAGGACATAAAGTTAGTATACAAAAGTCAATTGTATTTTTACATAACAGCAGCAAGCAATTAGAAATTTAAAAAAAAAATTCTACCTACAAAAAAATAAAAGAACATACAGTACTTAGAAAACATTTATCAAAAGGCATACAAGACCACTACACTGGAAACTACAAAACGTTGCTCAGAGAGCTGAACAATGGAAAGAGTCACCACGTGCAGGACCAAAGACTCAATGTTGTTACGATGACAAATGAAGTCATGAGAGTGACTTTTCTGCGCTTTTCTTGTTCATTGCTAACAGGCCCTTGTTTCTTAATTCTAGTCATACTAATAACTGAAATATATATTTTGCACATGGTTTGCATTTTGTGCGTTTTATTCTTGTGTAGACACACATATAAGCTTTGGGTAAGAAATGTCACTTGTAAATTGGTGAGGTACCAAACTGGTTCTTTCCTCCTCTTCTACAGTAGATTTAGACTTAGGACTGTAGCACAGATTTTTATGTTCTTATAGAGAATCTATTATCAATGTTAGTCAAGATTTTAATATTTTGTATATTTTACTGGGGTCTAATTATGTAGTTTTATTGATCAAATGCATACAAAGATTATGTTCTGAACTAGATATTTAACTGAAAACTGTCCAAAACTAAACAAAATTCTGTTCTGTAATATACAATATCATTGTTTATCATCTGTGTTTTACAAACTACACAGTTGTGTGCTTTATTTTAAAATAAAACTCTTTGCTTTTGTTTTCTTTGCAATGTAACTAGCTTTGTCTCCCAAGTGTCTTGTTTGTCCAGATGTGTCTGCGTTTTGAGAAAGGAATGACCTTATAGGCTTATGCTCGGACAAACTCTTGACTGAAACACCATGCTCATTTATTTTGTTATGCAGTCAAAGATACATTCGAGTATGGTAGGGAAATTTTAAACAAATACATTTTTCTCTCTTCATTTCTTTTTCAGTCACTCAACTGTAAATTGCACAGATAATCTCTATGACCCGGCAACAGCAGAGAAGTTTATTTAATATAGGAATCTGAACCTTAATGTCAAGAACTTTGAGTTCCACTTTCACATTTAGATCCAAGTTAAGTTCCCTTAGTAAAGAAGAAATTTGCTATCTCTACCAGATCATAAGTTGTGAAGTGTGACAATTGCTTAAAGAAAAATGTAATGAAAGTGTTCTGTAGAGCTCTGTAGTAATACTAGTGCTATTTGAACTTTCTCATTGGCACTTTTCTCACCTGCCATCTTTACCAGCCTTATAAATCCAGAGCAAATGATTGCTCATATGGGAGCTTTGATCTTCATTTTAACGTAATGCCATATAATTTCTCAAACCTTCAAATTAAACCAAGAAAACTTTTTCCAAGTTAATGACATGGCTTAATTTTCGGACCTTGGCCTGTGCAGACTTTGAAGTTAGAGAGTGTTGGGAGGAGGGGAGATTAGATACTGTGATATACTGACTAATGTAAATAAGTATATTTGAACTAGTTTGCTAAATTTGCATAATCCCTGTTGTGTAAAATAATGCAGTCAAAAAAGTTGCATGTAGTCCAGTGAACTGTATTTTTTCTGTCTCTTTTTTTTTTTAACACATTGACTGCCACACTGGAAAAAAAATTTTTTCCTTGGGACTACAGTGTTTTATTATGAAAAAGAATAAAAACCTCAAAAACAAAATGATCCTTTCTAATTTAATGAAAAATTTGTTATTTGTTTTCTGTGTGTGAGTTATATGCAACTTGAAAAGTAGTTCACGTGGCTTGCAAGGTAGAGATGTGTGAGTTACATATGTTTCACAAGGCCCTGGGCTCAAAACTGGCGTGAGTTAAATACAACTCACATGGCAGTTAATGTGTTAAAAGCATCCTGTTCAAAAATCCATTACTGTAAATCCTTTGATAAAACAAAGGCTCTTTTGCAATACAGTTGGTCAACCACTATGTTATATTGTCATTCTTAAAATTAGGGTTTTTGAAGCTGGGTGCTGTAGCGTGAACCTGTAATCCCAGTTACTCAGGAGGCTTATGCAGGAGGATTGCTTGAGCCCAGGAGTTCGAGATAGTCTCTGGGCAACATAGCAAGACCCCATCCTCCCCACACCCCTCCAAATTAGGGTTTTTGAACACGTTTTCTTAAAATACTCGAACTACATTCAAGACAGCAAGAAAAATAAAAGAGACCAGTGAGTTCATTTGCATGTTTTGAATTTTCAGTGGTACTAGGGCTTGCTTTTGAAGCGTAGTCTTGGCTTTAAACTAAAAATTACAGCCATTTCTTTAATAAGTACTTGCTTTTGAAAGTATTTTTGAAAACAAATAGTGCTTTAAAATTGTGATTTTTCAAGGAGTATGCATAGATGAAAAAAGTGCTTTGTAGTACTGCTTTATTTATTCTTAGTCACAATGCTTTTGTTTTTCAAAACACATTAAAGGAATAGTTGAGATTTTAAAAAATAACAAACACATTTGGATTAAAAGGGCTACTGCTGTATAATATAGGGCCTTCTGATTCTGTAGTTTTTCTGTTGCTGTTAGGTAACAGGTTTAAGACTTGTGAAGAAATGACTGGGAAATAGGAGGAGTTCTTAAAGGTTTGTTTTAAACCATGAAAAGCTGAGCTGTACTTCAGAAAGCCTCAACCTTTATGGTCTTGTGACTAAATCACGTAACTGCACATTGTAAAGACAAGGACTCAGTTTCTGTGTCAAAATCTGTCAGAACTGAAAGGAGACACAGGAGAAAGTCCCAGGAGTGGCCTGGAACAAAACAATTTCTTGTACTGCTGTTATTGACTTGGTTGCTGGTTAGTTGGCTTATTTGATACAAGAATGGAGTTTTAATATTCTTAAGATAGTGCCCCCTACACCTTTTCGTTGTTAAAAACATTTTGCTTCAAAGTATACGTGAAAAGTGCGATGTAATGAAACGAAAACCCAGAGCATTAGGTCATTTGGGGAGATTTGAGTCAGCAGGTAACAAATGGCTTCCATTATAAGCAATTGTGAACTAATGAAAGCACAGCAGAAGCTCTGAAGTCCCACACAGAACATTCCACTGGACCGGTTGCACAGAAGCGGGGGTGGGAAAGTCTAATAAAGATGAAAGCAAACATCAGTTCTCCACTGATGGACATTCAGGCTGTTCCCCGTTTTTCAGTGTCAGAGAATTACTGTAAACATCCTCATATGTACGTAAAAATGTGTGCATGTTTCTCTAGGACAGTGGTTCTCAGTCCACTCCTGAGAAAACACTGATGCTCAGGTTCCGTTCAGACCTGTGTTTAAATCAGGATCTGGGGGGAACGGATCCAGATTTTGATGTTTTTAAAAGGCTCCTCAGATTCCAATACATAGTTGGGCTTGAGAACCATCATCGTAGGATGGTTCTTAGAAGTGGACTTGCTGAGTCGATGATAAAAACATTGTAAATTTTAGTAGCTATTATAACATCATTGTCTGTATTAGTTAGGATTAGTAGCAACTGCCAATAATAGAAGCCTAAAATACATATGGCTTAAACAAGATAGTTTATTTTTATGTAAATATCTAAATATGGGCAACCCAAGGCTGGTATGGCAGTTTTGTTCCACGAAGTCCGCAATTGCCCAGGTTCCTTCCAGTGTTTGTTTTTGCTGAACTAAAGGTAAGCTCCAAGGTAGAGGATAGGGCTCCTGCCATGGCATTCATGTTCCAGACAGCAGGGTAGGGGAAAGGTTGGAAAATGAAAGAGACACAAGGCACAGGTCAGCTATCCTTTTAAAAAGATGCCTAGAAACTCCCACAGGACACTTGGACTTGTATGCCATTGGTCAGAACTTGAATGTGAGTCCACACTCAGCCACAAGGAAGGCTGACAAACAGGCCTTCTTCTGGGTGTCCTGTGTGCCCTGATAAAAACCGGGGGTTCTTTTAATGGGAGAAGAGGAGGACTGACAGTGGCAGCCACCAGCAGTCTCTGCCGCGTCTTCCATGAAAGCTGTAAGAATCTGTGCCCTACCCAAGAATACAAGTGCCAGTTGCCCAGACCTGGTCAGTCGGAACCTGGCAGTCAGCCAGAAGCTTCAGTGCAGCGATCAAAACTTCAGACAATATGTTGGCACAAGGAGAGGCCAAAAAGATTTAAATCAGACTCAGGAAAGATGCTGAAGAGTTGTAAACTTTATCATGTATCAGAAAATAGTAAATGTGTAGAAGGCCAACTTTTAAGTTGCATACAATTCCGTCTCTGATCCCTAAGCTGTCGTACCGGAGGGTGTTTATTACCTTTCAGTGTGGCGTTTGTTATTTATTTGCTAACATACTCAAATTAGTCTGAATGTTAACGCTAACCACCCTCATTTGAGCATACTGATCAAAGAGGACATCTTAATACATAATTTTTATATTTCAAATTAAAAATTTTTTAATTAGGAAATGAAAAGTAATTTGATATGTGACTTTTTTTTAACCAGTATTTGTTGTTGCAGTGGATGAAGGTCGCTGTAAGGAACCTGACCGGTTGCGGGTGTTTCATAAGAAAGCCATCATGTCTTACGGTGTTTACAAGAAACACCAGAAAGACCCAAGCGAGGAGGCCGCCGTGCTGCAGTACGCGAGCCTGGTGGGGCAGACATGTTCCGAAAGGATGCTGCTGTTCAGAAACTGAGCCGCGCGCAGGCTCCTCCCAGTGCGGTGCTCCTCGTGTGCTGATCTGTGACGCGGTACATGCTCAGCACCTCGGGGGAAACGGTGTAACCAGTCACAAATTAGACTTTTTTATTTTGACTATCCTATGGCTTTTAAAAAATACTTTGTGGCAATATATTTGTGAGAATCTCATGGTTACTATAGAGATGTAAAACTGTGTTATGACCTAGCCCCATCGTTGGGGTTTATCATTTTGGAGGATTGTTTCTGTTACAAGATATGCTAAACTTCTCGTTAGTATCTTGGAAAGTAAAATTAAGAAGCGAATGTGAGTAATTTAATCACAGTTGTGCTTATTCTGTTAGATTAAAACAGACTATTTCCTCAGACCCATATAAAACACAAGGTTATGCTAGAAAACCTTAAGTGTGGGGACGGAGTAAAGTCTGTTTCATCACTTAGAAGATAAATCTTCTCGAGAGAACAAGACTACTGTTTTTCAATGTTCAATATTAAGTTGCTGCCAAATGTTCTATTATGTAGCTTAATAGAAAACTTGAAGAAGAAAACATAAACATTAAAAAAGGATCTTGTGTTAGCATCGGGTGTCCATTTGTTCGGGACAGTCCTGTTCCTGTCTGTTGTTTTGGCATAATTTTTTTCCCTAGAATAATTGTTATTAGGGCTCTCTTTTACTCTCAAAAGCATCCCAAATTTGGACAATAAAATATATAATTACTGTAGTTATATATTATTTGCTTTATTTCTGAAAAGCTAAGAAATGGAGTTTTTGGCTCCTGCTTTGATCTAAGCCTCATCCAAAGGAAATAGGAACCAATTTTTCACTCCTTAGAATTCGGGACATTTATCTTTGGTTATTGATGAAAATTAGTTAATATCTGACTACTTTTATAGCTGTGCCACAAATCACATTTATGTAGGAATCATCTTGACCTCTGTGTTCCAGGATAAGAGGTGGAACGATCCATTTCCTGCCCATTGATGTGAGAGTCAGAGAGTAGATGCTGCCCTTGGCGATTCAAAAAAGAGGCCAGGCCAGCCCTTCTGTCCCTCTCTCTGTCTCAGTGAGCCCTTTGCTCATTCAGAGAGGGTCTGCCTCACAGTGGCCGGCACCGTGCCGGGTACAAGGAGGAGAATGAGACACGTCAGTTCTCAGCTCCAATCAAGTTGTCTTGGAAACGGGATGAAGAACAGAGGAGGGTTCTTTGCCTGTGCACTCTTTCTCAGCTGATCCCCCTTCTGCTGCCAGCCGCTTGGCCACCAAGCCCTTTTCAGTCCCCATTTTGCCCATTTTGCTGTTTTCTATTGATTGAGCTTTTTAAAAGTTATATTATAAAACTTGGTAGTTTGAATCTTTGAAAAGTTTTAAACTTTCCTCTGAAGTGCATTGAATTTCAATTAAACATTTAGAAAATAGCCTTCAGCTAGCTAGAATAAAAAGAAGGATCATAAAACAGTGGTTTTAAAAATCAAATGTCTACAAACAAGTATTTCTTCATTCTGCGTGTGTGTGTGTGTCTCACACCTGCTGTGTGCTGGGTACTTTGCTAACTGGGACAAAGTAGTGAGCAGAGCCATTTTCTCTAATCATAAAGATTTTACATTCTTCTGGAATTTTTGACCCTCAAAATGGTCTCCTAAGAGCATTTAAGAAACTCTTTTGTGGAGCTTCCCTAAGAATATATAGAACTTTTTTTTTTCTTATTCCTCTAAAATGAAGTTAGTTTCATTTTATGAATTTTTGGATTACAAAAGTGATACTGTAAGCAATTAAAACTTTAAGAAAAGTATAAATAAGAAAGTAAAAATAACAAAATCTTGCCATACTGAGAGAAAGAAAAAACTATTATATATACATACATATATAATTTTAATATAAATAGAATTAGGCTCTACGTGCTGTTTTCCTCAACGGTAAATTATAGACATATCTGAAATTTGAAAGAAATTTCAAAATAAGATTTTAGAAAATGTGGCAAGTAATCTCAGCATTATTAAAATAAGTAGGGTAGGATCAGCACTCGGTTCCCTTGGCATTTGGATGTCCACGCTGACGTCCTTAGCTGCGTCACATCCTACTTTCATCCTTGTGGTTAGCTTGTAGCACAGCATTCAAGAAGATCACAACTCTTGAGTATCAAATGAAGAGAAAACTTGAATCTAACATCTTACCATGACTCTGGTTTCTTCCTGCAGAATCCATTTTGGATTCCTTCACAGGAAAATGATTTCTCATCCCTGTCTGTGAACCGTTGTGCCGTCCCTGAGGGTGGCATTCTAGGTTGGCTCCAGTGAAGCTTCAGGGTGACTTGGGCATGGAGATTCTTCAACTCAGTTGCTATATCCATGCATGTGTTTTTTTGAGAATAGTGTATTGATCCCAGTAGCCAAAATGTCTTCAAAAGACACTTATTATTTGGAGACCTGAGTGGATATCGCTAGTGGGCTAGAAAAGGACAGTCAAAGAAAGTGACCCAATTCTGTTAGTTGACAAGCAGTCTGGCAGACAGATACGATTTTATGTTAATGGCTTTCATCTAAAGAAAGACACCTGAGAACCTTTCAAAAGGCAGTTTATATCTTTTCAAGGCAGGAAGCTTTGTATTTGCAATCTTAGTGTTGTGTCCCCTTCCGATTTCAAATAAATTCACAGCTACCTTTCTCTGTTGGGAGCAAAGATATAATTTTGATTTCCCATGCTACCATTTTTATTTAAATTACTCAGGTCTATGAGATTTGTGTTATTTTT